TCCATCAACCAGGTAAGAATAACAGAAATCATCAGATCCTTCCCCTATCTTCTTGAAATGTTACTGGTACATAATTTTTTCCTCTTCCTGAAACACACTTGCCTCTGCTTTTCACTTGGCTAATTCCTATTCACTATTCATTTTTCAGATTATATATTACTTCCTTCCAGTAGCCTTGATTTCCCATCCCCCATATTAATTGTTTCTCTCCTTTTCCTGGGACCTTCACTTCTTCAAGGCACTTTATCTAATTATGCATTTAATTATGGACCGATATGTTTAATGTTTTTCTTCCCTATTCTTTTCTAAGGCTCATAAGAGCAGGGACCAGGTTCACTATGTTTAACACTCTGCCCTCAGAGCCCAGCCCAGTCCTGGCATAGTACAGGTGCTCAATAAATGTTAGTAGTGAAGATCTCAGATTGTTTTCCTGTGCTCAGAGCATGGCAACCAACTCCAAGAAGCAATAGCAATAGAAGCCTTCAGATAGTAAAATACCCATTTTGCAGAGAAAACAGCTGTGAAGGCAGAAAGTGCCAATAACCCAGGAAAAGGGAGGATGACAAAGAACTGCATCTATTTCAGAGTCTTGCTCAGAGTCATGGCTGTGGCTATCAATGTTTGCCTCTGAAAATAGTTATTTTTTGCCCAGTGGGTGGTCTCCACTTAGTCATTGCAATGGATTTGAACCAAATAACCTGCATTTATGCTTTTTACCTATTTAAGACCAACTTAAAGACAAAAACAAGTAAGAGAATGATGAAGACTTTTTTTTTTTTTTTTTAAGATTCTGCAGTATGTTCATAAATGTCTCCCTCGCAGGGATGAAGTAAGAATTGCTCCTTTAAAAAATACCTTTCTGTAAAACCACAGCAAAATTCCTAAAGATAGAAACAACAACAACAAAAAGCTAGATGGCAGCAGACTGCCTTTCATGTTCCTATCAATGAATAGATTGCTAACTGACAATCAGGGGCATTGTTCATATAAATAATATAAATAGTTCAAAAGACTCCAGAAATAAGTTCCTAAAGCATTCCCAGCCATTTGGAATAAATATGGCTTGGAATTTTCCCCATCTTTGTAATTTTGAGAAAAATGATCTAGACTAGATGTCTATAACTATATTCAGATGATTCCTATTCATAAACTGTGAAGAAAGAACAGACCAACTTCAGTAACAGTGACATTTCTGGGAGAATAAATTGGTTCAAGAAGTATCAACAACAGCCGCAAAACAGTTAAGGCACTTCAAGGTAATCAATTTAGCTCTATCACTTTTTGCTGTGACTCCAAAGGAAGTCAACTGAATCTCTGAAAGTAGTATCTTGCTGCCTGGAATTGGTACCCACAAGCTTCAAATAAACTATTTCATGAAGTTTAAGCTGTCCTTGACAGAAAGAAGGGCACGATCAGCTACAAGCCATTAGGGAAGGTATAATTTCACAAGGCCAGACAGCCAAGAATAGTGATCCTCAAAGGGAACCTTTTGTAGAAAAAAATTTTGCACTTCTCTCTCTCCATCCATGAGTAACCTCAAAAGAGCTGTTTTTGGATTGTTTCCCTTTATTCCTATTGATGACTATTATTATGTTTTTGAAAATGTTTTTGTTAATGTTGTTGCCAGAAACAGGTAGGTTAACAAAAGTTTAGCCATGGTTGCTGTTATTGTTAGAAGCGGGTGTAATTAATAAAAGTTTAGCTGTGAAGCCAGGCACCCCAGGGTTCAAACCTCAGCTTATTGGCTACTTTTTAGCTATACAACCATTAGCAAATGGCTTACCCACATGACCTCTGTTCTCACAGCTGTTAACAAAAGCAGTGGCAATGATAATAATGTTGAGAATTGTTTTGAGGTATAACCAAATGCCTAGCAAAAGGCCAGGCTTATTGTACAAACTAATTAATATATCTAAATCACATTCCTTTCTTTTTTTTTTTGGCTTTCCTTTCTTCTGCCAACTTCTCCATCTTCCAAAACCAGCCTTAGTAGTAGATAATGACCTAGGTCTTCTACCCACCAAGCAGCTCAGTGTGCTGGCTTCCTGACACAAGACATAGCCCTTCTGGAAAGTCAGGAGTCCAACTGTTGACTCAAAGCTCAGTTTATATTAGAAAGCAAATGTTCCTGAACATAGGAAGCATTAATTCACGTCTAATTGCTTATTTACACTTTAAGGACTTCTTCATTTTTTACAATTTACTGTAAGCAGATTCTGAAAAGAGAATATAGAAAGAACAAAAGTTTTGGCTTTGAGGAGGGAAAGTGTGTGGAGAGAACATAAGAGGAGGAGAAGGAAGAAGAAGACAGGAAGGTCTCAAAACCTGAGCTCCTGCATCAGTCTCTCTACTGAGCTATCCCATTCTGAGCTTGTCCCGTTCTTTGGTAAATCAAGCTTGCATGCTTCTTAAATTGTCAATGGTTAGGTTTACATGGTTCTCAAATTATTTTTAACAATGTCAGTAGAAGTGAAAAGCATTCATAAGTTCTCCTCTTTAATAATGATGGTCACAAATAGCAGTAGCAGTCAACAGCTAACATTTCTGTAGTACTTACCTTGCACCAGACACTGTGCTGGGCACTGTACATGATTATCTCACTGAATTCCCACAAAGCCTTATGAGTTGACTATTATTATTATTTCAATTTACAGAAGAGGACACTAAGCAGAGAGAGAATATACAGCTACCAAGTGGTAGAATTAGCTAACCGGCCATGATTTTATTTCATCTGATTGCAGAGTTTGATGCCTCTCCTGGGTGAAGTCGATAGGACCAGAACACAGTTCTACTAGAACATTCAGTATGATTTCATAATGTCACTTCTTTTTGCCTTTAAAGTGAGTTGGGGAATTCTGAATAGGCAGGGGGACATTTTAAGAGGTCATAAGGGCATGAGCTTAAACCTGCAAATGTCATGAGAGCCTCTCCATCTTGTGAACCCTCTTACTAACCACCTTCATTTCCATTTAGGCTTTTACAAAACACATGACTGTAAGCTGGTTTTCTTCTACAGCAGGGAGGAATGTTGTGGGGAAATGACTTGAAAAAGTTCATATGTTACAAAACACAAAAACTACTTGTTACATATGTTTCGTGTAAATGTCAAAGATAACCTCTCAAATATTATTTAAGGTTCCACTAATCTATAATACCCAAAAAAAAAAATCTTGCCTCCCTTGAAAATATCTTGCATTCTTCTATTATTCCATGAAACATATCTTATTTGGTTATCACAGCCAACATTCAACTAAGGTAATAAGGGAAGATAACAACAGCCCTGCTTTATAGAGGCAAAAGTGGGATCCCAGGCTATATGGCACAGCAGAAACTATCTCAAACTAGTATTTTGGCCCCTAGTCCCAGCCAATAACAAGTTTCATTAGTGCAAAAGTTCTTTACCTACACATAGCCTGTGGTTTTCTTGGTGAAAACAGTATTCTTAGTGAACTAAATTTCGCACAGGAAACCATGGACTCAGCATCTCATATTCTTGTTTGGTGTATTTTAGGAAGCATAAGCATGTCCAGTCTAAAGCAGCAGGTTATCTAAAGAGTGTCTGGCTAGGCAGTGCCAAGAGACTGCATGTCATCAGCTTTTGAAAGTCATTACCATTGAGTTCATGTTCCTAATTTGTTTCTTTCTGTGAGGAAGGCAGAGGATCATATTTGAATCCAAGATCATGGAAGTATAATAGACATGAAAGGTATGTGGTTAGGACACTAGCAGGAACTCCAGAGCAAGTATGCACTTTCCAAGTTTCCAGGGAGCAGGCTGACGGCAGAAATGTCTGATTTGAACTAAACTGCTAAATAACTTGTTTTTTTTTACTCAAATTCCTGCAAAAATTGCTCACTGCTACAGCAACTATTAATGAAAGTCTGTTTTTATGCTCCTCAATGGCATTTTTAGCAAAATTTAGAGAAAAAAAAACCTCAGAAAATAAAAAATGCAAATGTAAGACATATGCTATGAAAATATCTTATGAAATATGTTATGAAACTTTTGTTCATTATGTAACTAGTGCCAACTTTGCAACCATTTAGGTCTCTGACGGTGATAACATATTTATCTTGTCATTACTCTTCGAAATCCCAAGTCCTACAGAACTCTAGCTTCAACTAGAAGCCAAGTCCTACCTTTGTGCTATGCAAACAGAGTCCTAAACTGTAAGCAGCCTCACTACAGATTTCTTTGATTCCCTTTGGACCACACACTGTGGATATAAGGATAACCAAGACGTGCATCCAAGTATGTATATTTTCAAATTCTAGTTTTGCATTTTCTGATCTAGCAAAAGTGAGTTATTTGAGCATCAAATTATATATTTTCCTGCGATAGTTTACATTTTCTCAAAGCCATTTTCCTTAGTAACCAATAATGAGAGATGATAGAAGGCAATTTAATATATTTCAGCATTTCCAGGTAGCATTTTGTCAAAGGTTAGTTTCAGCATGAAACAGGTGATATAAATGACATATAGATGCATGTGCAGGGGGAAAGATGTTCTGTGATAAAGGAAGTTTGAGAAAAGATTTTTAAAAGTTAAACAGTTTTTAGTAATTCTCAGTGCCTTTAATATGCAAATAAATGAATCATGGTCAAGATGGTAACAACACATGCAACACTTCTTAAAATGATTTAAGCATAGAACCATCATTTGAAGAGCAGTTGCAGGGACCAGTGTTCCATGGACACACTTTCAGTCATGTGGGCTTAGGAGTCACACAGACCTGAACTCGTGTGACAGCTCAGAGGAGCTGTGCGTCCTTGAGAGAATGACTGAAGCACATGGTAAACCTTGGTGTCTTAGCCTCAGTCTCTGGAGGTTAACAAAAGGTCAGTAAATTCAAAAATACTAAGAAAACTACATTATATTGCATCTTCACATTCAAATGCATCTTCACAAATCCCCTAATTCACTAGTATCACTCAAGCATTTACTTTTCTCCTAGAAATGTTTTTAAAGCAACTCTTCTTGGTGCTTTTATGCTTGTTACCTTAGAGAAATGTGTGCAGTCTTTTTGCCTTCTCTGGAATCTCATTTTCATCATCAGCCTCTGTTTGCTAATGTTTTAATTCTCTCTTGATGAGCACTTCTGCACAGATCAGCACACTCTACAAAATATTCCAGTTTTTTTTTTTTTCTAGAAGCAAGCACAGAATGAACTATAGTGGACGTGTTTATCAAATTTGACCTAATTTATCACTTCAAATTTTATACTTTTCATTGTTTTTCAAGAATTAAGAATAATAATTTTCTTAGCTGTTTTCTTGTCACATCTACTGTCTAGATCAACACTGTTCAGGAGAATATAATGTGAACCATGAATAATGGCCAAAACATGTAATTTAAAATTTTTTAAAAGTCATATTACAAAAAGTTACTTTTACAACCAGGTGAAATTAATGTATTTTAAAAAAATTTTTGTGAGTACATAGTAGGTATATTTATGGGGTACGTGAGATACTTTGATGTAAGACATATCATGTATAATAATCACATCAGGGTAAATGAGGTATTCATCACCTCAAGAATTTACCCTTTGTGTTACAAACAATCCAATTATACTCTTTATTTTAAAACGTTCAATAGATTATTGTGACCGCAATCACTCTTTTGTGCCATCAAATACTGTATCTTAATCATTCTACGTGACTATATTTTTGTGCCTATTAACCATCTCCACTCCTACACCCCTGCCACCCACGACCCTTCCCAGGTTCTGATAATCATCTTTCTACTTTCTGTCTCCATGAGTTCAATTGTTTTTATTTTTACCTCCCACAAATGAGTGAGAATATGCAAAGTTTGTCTTTATGTGTGTGGCTTATTTCACTTAACACAATGACCTCCAGTTCTATCCAAATTGTTGCAGATGACAGGATCTCATTCCTTTTTATGGCTGAATAATACTGTGCTGTGTGTATGTACCATATTTTCTTTATCCATTCATCTGTTGATGGACTCTTAGATTCAACCAGGTGAAATTAATTTAAATAAATTTTTTACTTAACACTATGCACAGTATTACTATTTATATGTATAATCAGTAGGAAAATCACAAATGAGAAATTTTTCACTTTTGTTCACACTATTATTTGAAATCCTCTGTGCTTGTTCCATTTCCAGCACATGTGATTTGGATTAGCCACCACTCAAGTGCTCTGTGGCTACTAGCTGTCTTGTTGGACAGCATAGGTCTAGATTAGCAGTCAGCCTCCTTCTGGGTGAGATAAACACAGGTAAGGTGTGTTTATCAGTTCAGAGTTACTGCATTTACAAGGGACAGTAGAGAATAAGAAAACTGTATTGTGATTTGAATACTTGGTGGTGCATGGGTGCATTCAATAGTTCAGTAAGTTAAACCCACAAGAGAGCTCTGTTGTATTTTGAATCAAATTACTCCCTGTGTTCTTCACATGTACCCCAAAACCTAAAATGCAATAAAAATAAAAATAAATTTAAAAAAACCAAATTACTCCCTGTCATGAAGCATCAGAGTCCCTCATAATAGCCTACACCACAAAAGCCAAGGGATTATTGCAATTGTTTTACAAGTAGGAAAAGCAGTAAAAGTTATTTGAAATTTTTACAAAGTTAAATTTTGTGAATATATGTCGAATACCAATTGTACACATGACACTTGGGTAGGTTTTAACACTTGGAAAGTTTTTTAGATATGAGACATCCAGTTTTCTTGGCAAAGGTATGAATTATATATAAATACACACATAATATATCCACATATATCCAAAATACATATATATGTACCTATGTATGTATGACATAACTCCTATTTTAAAGGGTCAGTTGGTTGGTGATTATTGCCATCTTTTCCTTTGAATGATGGGTACTATAGAAAAGCACAAAGTCAGTCTTGTTTCATAAATTAGTTTTCTATTCAAATTTGCACTTATCTTTGATGGAAATAAATGTATAGCATATTCTTGTGAATAACGCTAGTTAACATGAGCTGACTGCTTACTCTATGCTAGGTGCTAGTTTAATGGCTATATATGTATTATGTCATTTAATACTTGAATAACTCCAATGATATAGGTGCAAAGGTACCTGAAACAGAGAACACTGAAGGAATTTGATAAATGTCATACAAGCCGCAAGCAGAAGAGTCATAATTTGAACTCAGGAATTTCTGCTCAGTCATGAAGTTAAATTACTTTAAATGCATAGAATTCTAAGCACTCTCTTTGTAGATAATGATTTGTTAGTTAACATGAATCAGGTCCTAAAAAGAAATTCTCATACTTCTTATGATTTTACGTATCTTGAAGGTCTTAATGGAAAGGAACTTTGTAAAGATTGTTTCATCCTTAGCATAACCTCTCATTTCAGTTTACTCCAAGACCAATCCATGTAAAAATTCAGCTTCATTCCTTATCTCTGACGAATACCAGAATGCACAACACATGGTGCCTCTGATCTGTATCATTCTCCCTAGTGCTTGCTTTCATCTTTGATGTTGATATTTTGTGGTCTAGTGCCTCTTGAGAGAAGATAAATACCTATCTCCTTTGAACCATAAATTACCATACTTGGACTTGCTTCTTCATATAATTTTTACTAGTCCTTTTTATTTCTCTCATGTATAAATCCAAATGTTGAAATGATGACATCTATTTTTAAAGTATATAAATATTTTTTGGGGGGAATACGACAGAGTTTAAATTGCTAACAATATACATAAACCAGCTGAATCAACTGGGCAAGTAAACAACTCTGTCAGTTTCACACTGATCCATTTGCATGTAGGCATCAGGGAGGTCTCATTCTTGTAACCCCAGAATGCACAACATAAAGTCAGAACTAGTCTTCATTTCCACACCCCTCTTCTTCTAAAAAAAATTTATTTAAATATATTTAAATGACAAAAATTGCATACATTTATAGTGTGCAAGACAATGTTCTGAGGTAAGTACACATTGTAGAAGCGCTAAAATAAGCTAATAAACATATGCATTAACTCATGTACTATTTGTGGTGAAAACAGTTAAAATCTACTGTCTTACGATTTTTTTTTCTTTTTGATTATTTAAGTTCAGGGGTATATGTGCAGGTTTGTTACATAGGTAAACTCGTGTCATGGGGGTATTAAGCCTAGTATCCATTAGTTATTTTTCCTGATTCTCTCCCTTCTCCCTCCACTCTCCAGCAGGCTCCTGTGTGAGCTGTTCCCCTCTATGTATCCATGTGGTCTCATATTTTGCTCATTATTTGCTCACTCATATAAGTGACCACATATGATATTTGGTTTACAATATATTGTTCTTAATGATAGTCACCATGTTGTACACTAGATCTCTTGAATGCATTCCTCTTGTCTAACTGAAATTTTATATCCTCTGGCCACCCATTTCCCCAATCCCTCCTGTCCCCATCACCGCCTGGTGACCGTCTTCTATTATCTGCCTCTATGAATTTGACTTCTTTGGACTCCACATATAAGTGAAATCATACACACACCTCTCCTCCTGCTTATACTTACTAGCTTCCAGAAGAACAATGTTAGCAAAAGGGTTGCCTTTGAAAGTCGGCCAACCCCTGGCTTACACATCTATCAGAATGTACAGCATAAACTTTAAGGCTTCCTAAGTCTAGCAGATTCTATACACTTAATATACATTTGTTGGATGAATTATTGAATTGCATATAAGTTACCGGGACATTCGTTGATTTCATTAATGCATGCTTGATATATGAAGAAATACTGAAGCGCATGTCTTGGATCATTTATAGTTTTCATATACCTCCGTAATGTTATTGTTGTAATCCTTAAAAGATATAGTAATTATACAGTCCATATACTCAATTTCAAATGAGAAGACTTAGGACCCGTGAAATTAAGGTAACTTGTCCAATGTTGTTTAATGAGCCAAGATAAGGGTGGAAATCTAGATCATCTGGCTGCTGCCCTTCCATGCAAAAACTGCTATAGTTCATTTTATGATTACCATTTGAATGCCACCTAACAAAATGTTGTGGCCTGAGACTTCATTTATGATAATAATGAAAATTTATATTAAAAGAAATTACATTTTGCATGGGTGGATTACACAGTAAGTAGTACATAATTGATGTCTGGAATAGGATTTGAATATTTAAAAGTACATTATGACTTTATACAAGATACTAAACATTTTATGGGGAAGAGGTTTTTCACAAGAGTCATAATAAAAATACTTTTTATCTGTTTGTATAGTCATTTTTTAGCAGTTCCTCAGTTGTTCTTAGCACAACCAAGAAATGCTAAAAGATGTACTAGACCATGCCTTCCCCTCTCCCCAAAGTTCACTGTCATAATGGTAAAGGGTGAGTGAAAAATGCTTGAAAAGCAGCCCATGATCACTGAATAATTCCATTTTTAGCAAAGGCTTCATGATATCTCAGGTGGGATAGGATGATAGTCAGCTTTCCTAGAAGTTTAACAAATTCTTCTCTGAGAATGAAAGCAGTCTTGGTGGACGGGTCCAGGTTTCAAACCCGGTCTTTTAAATTCTTACTTTAAGGCCAGGTGCAGTGGCTCGTGCCTGTAATTCCAGCCCTTTGGGAGGCTGAGGTGGGAGGATCACCTAAGGTCAGGAATTCAAGACTAGACTGGTCAACATGGTGAAACCCCATCTCTACAAAAATAAAAACATTAGCTGGGTATGATGGCAGGTGCCTGTAATCCCAGCTACTCTCAAGGCTGAGGTGGGAGAATTGCTTGAACCCAGGAAGCGAATCTTGACATTAAAAAAAATAACCATAATGACAGAAAAGAAAGAGAATAAAGGGGGAAAAAACCTTTAAATGCACAGGTAAACAAAAAAGTTTTACTCTTGAAAAAGCAATATGCATTTATTTTAGTGTGACTTACATTGCCTATGCATTTACTAGTGTTTTTCAACAGGTTAAGGCGGTTTAGGAAAAGTCCAAAACATATTTTCCAAGAAATAATGTACAGGAAGAAAAACCTGATTTAAAGTGAGCACGGGCTATATAACAAGAACTCAAAGTAGGAGATGGAAATTTTAAACCAGAATAACAGATTATTGGTTTTTGCTAACAATGATTACTATTGGTTTGAAAAATGAATCTGGATAAAAATGTAGAATATATCACATATTTAAGCTGCATATGGGCCAAACAGGGAAAACTATTTCTGCATATCAGATCGTTTCTTATTTTAGTCACTTATTTCACAGTTACATAGTATTCATCATGAGGAGAAACAGAGTGTGAACAGCTCACTGTTACCTATGCTATTCCTGGAGAAAAGGGTCCTAAAGATTAAAAGATCCAGCTGCATAAATAAAAGGCATGATGACATTGTTATTACTAGGTAATCATTTATTAAGATGCCATCATTGAAAATGGATGACCTACATTTTGGTAAGAATGTAGAGAATTGAAATATCACTTTGGAGGCACATAAATGTGGCAACCAGTTTGGAAACACATTTGGCAATATCTAAAAATAAATATACATAACCTAAGACACAGAAATCCTACCCCTTGGGATATACCCAACCTACGTGCATGCACAAAACCCTGCAACACTACATGTACATTTGTTTACCAAGTGATATATCCAAGATTGTTCATAACAGCTCTAATTCATAATGGCCTAAAACTGGAATACTTAACTATCCATCAACAATAGAATGGGTAAGTAAATTGTAGCATATTCACTTGGTGCAATACTAACACAATGAGAATAAAGAATGTACAACTACACCAAACAATATAAATGAATCCCATAAACATAATATTGACCGAAATAAGAGTTTATATTGTATGATTTCATTCCTATAAAATTCAGAAGTAGTCTAAACAAATCTATGCTATTGGAAGTCAGTTAGTCATTATCTTTGGGTCCACAGTGACTGGAAAGAAGCATAAAGGGGTTCCCTTGGGAGCTGGCTATGTTTTCTTTTTGATCTATGTGTTGGTTATATGAGTAAAAATGGCTAGACATTTTTTTCTCACTTAGTGGCACATTCACACCCATCATTTTATACCAATTAGATCCTTGTAGAGTGCTAAGGGTTATATATAAATAGCAAAGAAAGAGAATCCTTCCCATTTCAACCAACATGGGGAAGGCAAGACTTCAAGGTTTTTGTTTTAAAGTCATATAGGGCTAAAATAAACAATAAGCCTTTTAAATTTGCTCCAAAATACAGGATGATTTGTTCCCCCACTGATAATAATTTCTCCTTTCCCCTTCTTGCCATTTCTGCACGTCAGATCTCCCTGAGGTTTATGTTGTCTCAGTTTACATGGATTTGCTTTCAGAAAAAATCCCTGATGTTTCTTGTCCCTGAGTATCTCTTCCAAGCGTTTGAAAAGCAGCTCATACAACAGAAGTTGTACAAAGCCACCCTTGTCATGTTCACAGGAGAACAGAGAACAAAAACGTCCCGATCAGTGAGTGGCAGCACCACTGAGAACCTCCTGAACCTCTGCTCAAGGCATTTTGAACTTTATAAAAAGAAACGGAGGAGAGTTACGATGGAAAATATACAGTTATTTTCTAGAACAAGCAAGATGCAAGATAAAACAATTATTTGAGCAATGAAATGTTTTTATCCTTTAGTTCATCTGAGATTAGGGCAGTGATACTTCAGAGAACCCACAGATAACAGGTTTTTGTCAGGTACAACCTGAAGACAGCAGAAGTTTTTGCTGGTTTTTCCTTGACTAAAATGGCCACCCTTTCACTAGAGAATGTACTTACGTCATCAAATTAATGTGATTCTTAAACAGGACATAAATCTTCCCTTTGGATGAGAACACTAATTAGATTCATCTAATTTTTCATTCTTTATCTAAGCACTGCCATTATATGAAAAGAAAAATTTCTGAAAATCAAGGATATTTTGCAGTTAAATCTCTCTTCCAAGCCAATGTATTTTGTTACCCTATATAAACAAATTCTGCCATTACATTCCTTTATCCATAGCAACTTGCAGTGGGTAATCCACAAATCAATTAAAGGCAAGTTAAGTGCCAAAAAGGGATCAAGCAAAAAGCATTAGAAGCATAACATTTACAGGCTCCAGCCTAAAAATTTGTGTGTCAGAAAAGTTTCGTCTGGCTGGCTTTTCTTTTAATGCAAGATTTAAAATTTGTATTATTTCTTTGAAAATAAAAAAAATAATCTCATCATAATCTCTTAGTTTTGCAGGCAGACAGAGACAGATATTTCAAACAGAAAAAGGTTCCTACTATAGGGTTATTACCACTGTTACTGATTTTTAACTTCCAATTTTCTTTGCCGTAGTATTTTCTATGCACAACAATTTTTGAGATAGTTTGAAACAATGTAATAGAAAGTATATTGCAAACTGCTCCCCTTCCCCCTACATCTTCATCTTCCTCCTTGTTTTACTTTCCGTCAGTATATTTTTCTTTCTTTCTTTTTTTTTTTTGAGATCGAGTTTCGCTCTTGTTACCCAGGCTGGAGAGCAATGGTGTGATCTCGGCTCACCGCAACCTCCGCCTCCTGGGTTCAGGCAATTCTCCTGCCTCAGCCTCCTGAGTAGCTGGGATTACAGGCACGCGCCACCATGCCCAGCTAATTTTTGTATTTTTAGTAGAGACGGGGTTTCACCATGTTGACCATGATGGTCTCTATCTGTTGACCTCGTGATCCACCCGCCTCGGCCTCCCAAAGTGCTGGGATTACAGGCGTGAGCCACCGCGCCCGGCCTGTATTTTTCTAATGACAGAAGCAAAGGCAAATTCACTCAAGAGATTGAAGACTGAAAACAAGCTACTAATTAGGTCAATATTTATATGGTTCCATTGACCTTGTGCAATTCTGATTGTGTGCCTAGAACTACAAATGTACTCACAGATGTATGGAATGAGTATGTTTGAATTCATAAGCAAAGAAATTATCATTCTCTTTAAAAAGGCTTCCCTGGTTTCCCCAAGGAGAACCTCTCATCTCAGTCTCTATTTATCTTTTGTTAACTTGTTTATTTTCTATCTTCCTCTACCAGAATGTAAACTTGATAAAAGCAGAGGCCACATCCATTTTGTCTCTCACTACATCCTGTTGCATTTTTAGGAGTATTTGTAAGTCAGCTGTTAATACCCAACAGTTATTAAAAATTAAATTACATAAAAATTGTTAATTATAATTAAACAAATTATATTTAAAAACAATGGAAATATGTATTAAAAAGTCCTAACTTCTGAATAATTTGACTGAATTTTACTATTATGATGTTTTTGGGGCAACTTATATCTAGTGTATCTATATGGTAGATACACTGTATATAGGACTATGTATCTCTTGCCACCGTCACATTGAGTGACATTTACAGTTCGAAAGGGACTGGTGAGATAATTTTTTGGCACAAAAATCAGCAAATATTACGAATAGTCCCTTCCCCACTCCCTCATAGAGAGCTGGTTGTGACCATTTACTACCTGAATGAATAGATTGATCTTTTATATTCTGTTCTGTTCATATTTGAATGTTTAATTCATTGTCATAATTTTGGTTTTTTTTCAGAGTTAATTTTTTTAGCTCAACACAAAGCTTATCTTTTTAAAACTTCACTGCAAAGGTATTTTTTTTATTTTTCTTTTTTTGGAATGTGGCTTACATACTTGTCCCCTCTAAACTGTCCGTCTTTTGCATTTGATTGGCTTAACATACTTACAGTAATATATACTTATTCACAAATCCATTTTTCCTCTTTAACATTTTAGCTTTTGTCTTCCAAATTTACACTATTACCAGCTAATGAGTTATATAATTTGAGTGCCATGTGCCATGGTTCATGCCTGCAATCCCAGAACTTCAGGAGGCTGAGATGGGAGGATAACTTGAGGCCAAGAGTTTGGGACAACCTGGGCAAAATAGACTCTAAATCATTTTTTTGAAGCCAGGCATGGTAGGGTGTGCCTGTAGTCCTAGCTACCCAGGAGGCTGTGGCTTGAGGATCCCTTGAGCCTAGGAGTTTGAGGTTGCAATGAGTGATGATCATGCCACTGTACTCCAGCCTAGATGATAGAGCGAGATCCTGTCTCTAAAATAAATATATAAAATAATACAATTGGACAAGTTGTAAAGTACCATAGAGTACTCTTCCTTTGCCAATGGAATTTTCTTTTGTTCCGATTCACCTCTGTATGGTTTTATAACCCAGCCTTATGGACAATCAGACACCTCTCTTCAGCCCCTTGTCAAAGTTAAAAAGGCTTGTCAATTATAGTTCAAAGGCAGAAAAAACAATAGAAGTTAGAAGGAGGGAGAGCCAAGGTAGAAGGTGGATATATGGCTATGGCAAAGAACATGATAGATGCTGAGGCCTCCAGAAGGAGGAGTACCAAGGTAAAGTATATACAATTGAATGCTTCCTCTTTTGTAAGAAGAATTCCTTATTTGTTCTGCCCAGATCATACAGGCCTTGATCCAGCTGCTCAGTCAAAGTATCGTCTCTTAAAATAACTTGACGCAGGCTCATGTACTTCATGACTTAAAGACAAAAATGCACTAGTTGAAAATCACTAAACTGACATTATGAAAATAAATAGTATAAATTTTATGAACTACTAATTAAGATAAATACTCCTACCCATTACACATTCAAAACTGGAATGGTTTTAGTGAAAACCATTCTCACACTGAAATACAGCATCATCATAAACCCTTGGAAATGGGGAGTGTCTTTTGTTCTTTTGTCACCTTGATTTTATTTGTACAGCTCCTGGCAGTCCACATTTGACAGGGCTCTGTATTGGTCCATAGCCTGCAGACTACCTTATAAAATCAATACCTTTATGCTTATTGCGAGTTTTTAATCTTTCTGCCTGTGGTTGTTCCATGTGCTGTCTTGATAGTACAGAAAACATTCAAACTATATTTCCCCTCTCTGTTTCTAGTCTATACTGATAATTGCATGGATTCTTTTGAATGTTAGAGATGGGACTTTCCTTCAATTTTGAAAAAAATACATTATAATGCAGTCTGCAAAAATGTTGTTTACAAAGTGGTGATTCCCTACAAAATTCCTATGATAGCTGTCGTAGCAAGTGATTTTTAGACTTGTAAGTAAAATGTCTGAGGATAATTTTACTTAAATGAGTCTTTCTATTATTCAGAAACCTGTCTTTCCATGGTCATTGCCCAGTTATGACTCTTATACTCTCCCCTGGCTGCAAGAAGTGTGCTCTAATTCATTCATTCTCTTTGCTGCCTTACTGAAGGCATTGAATTAGATGGCATATGTACTGAAGTGAGGGGATGGGACACTGGAACAAAGATTTTCACAGAAACATGCAGAGCCAGGGTTCTAGCTCCGGCCATGGTACTATCAAGCTGCATGACCCTGGGGCCTTTTAAGGTCTTCAAGCTCTTCAATGTAAGACAAATGAGTTTGAGCAAATGAATCATCAGGTTTCTTCAGCTCTAACCTCTTGTTCCCATGAATATGGCAAAAGGAAGCAGAATATCCTTACACTTGTCATGAGTTGGAACACATTTGTTAATAGGTTCATTCATTCAACACATATATGTTAAGCATGTACTGTACCAGGCACTCCTCTCGGCATTGGCCATGCAAAGGTGGAAAAAAAGGGCAAAAACTGCTGCCATGTGGAGCTTATATTCTATTATTAATAATAGCTGACATTTATTTTAGTGTTGTCTATGTGCTAGGCACTTTACATGACTAACACAGGTAATCCTCATAACACCCCATTTTACAGATGAGGAAACTGAGGCACACGAAGTTAGGTAACTTGCCCAAAGTCTCATAGCTATAAGTGATAAGGTGAAAATGTGAACCTCAGCTGCAGTGTGCCTGTAGAGCTAGTCAACTGTCAACCATTCCTGCACACTACCTTTCCAAGGTGAGCCTGGGTTGTATATGCAAGTTGTTTTTAAGGTAACCATTTACAAGCCAGCTCTATTGTACTATTCTGAGACCAAGAGTGGTACCAATGATGACAGTCTACCCGTAAATGTATTTCACAAAAGAAGCTTCACAAAATTTGTGAAATATTAGGGAAGACTTGGAAAATGCTATAAAGAGGTTGGCACTGGGAAAGAGGCTATGGCACTGGGAATGCTTCCCGGTGCATAGTAAGTGTCCAGTACAAATTGGCTATTGTTCTTCCTTTGGACTTTCTAACCACATGTCTGTGGTCTCTAGTCCCTGAACTTCTAATTCTTCTTCTCTTATTTGATGCTAACTATACCCATCATTTTCGCTTACCCTAAAGAATTAAGTGAGATGAGCTGTGGCACACTAAAAACGACAGTGGTCACATCTGTTACACCTGAAAATGGCCTGCATTCATGTACTGTTTTCATTTAATCTGTACAATGGCCTTATGAAGTGGGTATTTTTATTTCCCATTTATGGACATGGAAATGGATCAGAGAGGTCAGGAAAACTGCCCAACCAGGAAAGCAGCAGTGTTGGCACTAAATCTTGGTCTGTTTGGCTCTAGAGCCAAAGTTCTCCTACAACATGCTACCTCTTCTCAACATGTACAATGGTTGCTAGCAGTATTGTTATTCTTAGGTATAAATGTTGCCTATATGGTAATTATTTTTTCATTGTCAATTTAGCCAACATTACTCACAATTTGAAATATCATTAAGAAGCCTAGAGTAATAGTCAGGACAATGCCAGTAGAATAAATAGACATGAAACAAGATGGAGTTGACCTCTCTAGCTCAGAGAATCTTCTGGCTTCTCTGAACAGCTGGCCAAGGAGCAATATTTTGGCAGCAAAATACAACCACATGACCAATGTTTTTGGCCAGATGAAATGAGCCAGATGGAAGCCCATGAAGAAAAACCCAGGAGGGGGCAGAAGCAGACAACATAAAATCACTGATTCATCTTCTTTTTTCTTAAATATAAAAATTCTTTTGTCTTCATGCTTTTGCTTAGCACTCCTTTAAACCAACATCAATTAGGTTAGAGGACAGTTTAGATGTTATTTAATAAGTTATATTTTAATTGATTACTAAACTCTATTCTACAAATTACATTGTGTTCTGTCTTCAGATAAAGATTCAGAGTTAAGTAGAGGAAGATAGTACATCTATTAGAATCATACCTCTGATTATGGAATTTTTCCTTGTGTGTTGTAATAGGATCTGCTCAGGAAACTGGAGGTGGGAGAGTGACTAGGAGTCCCGGTTCTAACACAGACTTCCAGAATTCATACCTGTGCACGTTTCTTAAACTTGCTCTGCCTGTTTTCTTCATTTGTAAGATAATGGTAATGCTAGATCTACTTCCCGAGGCTGTTTTGGAGGATGACATGCATGAGCTAATGCATGTATGGCACTGGGAACACTTCCTGGTGCATAGTAAGCATCCAATACAAATTAGCTCTATTGTTCTTACTTTGGACTTTCCAACCACGAGTGTGTGTGTGGTCTCTAGTCCCTGAACCTCCAATTCTTCTTCTCTTATTTGATACTAATTATACCTATCCTTTTTACTTATCCTAAAGAATTAAGTGAGATGAGTTGTGGCACACTAAAAACAACAGTTGTCACATCTGTTACATCTGAAAAGCTTTGAAAATGAAAAATTGCTATGTAACAGGAGGTATTCTTGGGGTACACAGAAAGTGACATCCCAGTGTACTGATTCACTGGTGGCACTCACTCCCTTTCTAAGACGTGGGTTCGAGACAGCATTTTCTAAAGGGGATTCTGCAATTTGATTGGACAATCACTGATGCTACCAGTTAGGTTGTGGCAGTAGCAAAGAGTAGCGATAGGACCACACTCTCCTGTGATCCCTGTTCATATCTGCTACTATGCAATTTCCAGATCAAAGTTACAGATTTGATCTTTACTTCCGAAGAATACAGGGGACAATTTAGGAATATCTAGATCTTCTTATTTGGGCAAATATTGCTTTATTTTTTCATAGCCCAGATACCATCTGTGCTTTTGTTTACTGATCTGATTGTTATTCCTCCTTCCTTCTGCTGTTCAGTCTATGTCATATTAAACAGATTTACTCATTAGCCCTTCTAGATGAGGTACAAGCATGCGCATATGTATTAATTAATCACCTGTTTGGCAATTCTGCTAAAATTCTGGGAAGGAAAAGATGTTGAAACAATTGGCAAATATGAGTTCTGGAGATTTTCTGAGAATTTCTATCCCATGACCCCTATGAGTATAAAGGGCAAGAAAACTAGAAGACACTTTGTTTCTTGCCTGTGGAACGCTATGGAATAATCTCTGCCCTACATTCAAATGTACCCTGAGTGACTCTCTCTTCTATTTGCATAGTACCTACCCCATACTCCTTGTGTAAAATGTTCCTTTTAACATCCCTTTTTAAGACAGAAAGCGGAAAGGGTTTGTGATTTGTTCTCTTTGGAAGATGGAACCATCTCAAGAAGAGTAATTTTCTATTTAAAGTTTCCTTGAACACTGCTGTAGTTTTAAACAATAATATTTTCAAAAATGCAAAATGTCCTAGTGTTCTCTTATTGGAGTTATCAGGGTCCACAGGCTGGGTAAACCTTTGCTCCTTGATTCTTCCTTTACTTCCCAGATCATTTTTCCACAATGTTTTCTAGGTACTATATTTAAACAACCAATATAAACGTATCCACATTATTTTCTCAAATTTAACATGAGCACATTATTCTCTTTCTTCTCTATAATACATGGGAGGGGCATTCCTCTAAAATAATTAGGTAAATCTTTAAACACATGTGCCGGAACCTAGACAGACAAATCAGCACCTCACCCTCAAAAATAGTACTCAGCTTTGTAAGCGGTGCCCTAATGCTAACACCAATCCCATTACTGAAAACATGGCTGGCCCTCTCCTCTGGATTCACAGAGAAAAAGTCGCTTCCTTATTATGTAATGCTCTGCTTTCTCTCTTTTTCTCTTTCTCTTCCTCCCTTCTCTGTCCCCTGCCCTGCTCCACTACTCTCTCCACCCTCTCCTTCCCTCTCCTTCCCTCTCCCTTTTCTTTTCTCGTTCAATCTCTCTTTCTGCCTCAAATCAAACTTAGTTTAATAAGCTATATATTAATCATTTTTGTTTTTTTAATAAAATGTATTTTACCCACAGCTGAAAAACTTTCAAATCTATTTTGAGCATTGTAAACTGTTTAAGATTGTACTTCTCGGGAGTCAGCACTCATCAAATGTATATGATTTGCTATTTATTTTAACAAATCAGACACGAATTGAATTTCATATCTTATAGACTTGGCTTTCCTTTAGACTGAATGTTACCTGTGAGTAAAAGCCATGCCAAAGAAAAATATTTCAGTGTAAAGCTAAGTGTACCCCCAGTATCATGCATTATTATCCATTTGATAGTCAAAGAAAAATGACACTACAATAGGCACATTTGAAGGTTTTACAAGATATAAAATATTGCTCATAAAAATCTCATGTGAGAGAAATTCAATGAAGAAATGTTGTTTAATGTCCAGTTCTTTCAGTTGCTTCAATAATGGGATCATAGCCAAAGCCTCTTAAAGGTCAAGATAAGCTTAAGTTACTTTCAGGATTTAAGGATCTTGTATATATTTCTTAAAATTAAGAGATGCAAAAACAAGGCTGTAACATTATGAGATATTTTACATGTTTACATCAAATAGTTTAACACCTTTAATTCCAAGAATGCTATGCAATAAAACTATGTTCCTCAGAAGATAATTGCAGCATTCAACTGTGTGTGCATGTGCCTGTGTATGGTATGTATATGTGGTATGTACATGTGGTATGTGTGTGCATATATGTGTGTGTGTGTGTATACATATGTGTATATATATATTTAGTGACTCATGGTGCATTTGAGGTATTATGGAATAATAAAAATTTTAAGTTATATGATAAATACCTTTTTTTCATTACTGTCAGTATATTATTGTGGCTGAATGCATAACCTCCTTGAATGGGTGAGGGACCTCCAGAAATGTGAAAGCCAGTGGCCATCTGCCTTCCTATCTCCCTAACCCTTCCACTCAATTCAATTTATGATAGATATGATCACATCAAGTTGTTTATGCTAATAAAGCATTATGGGATGATGCCAAATAAGAGAGGGTAACAGGATACTTTATCAAATAGGCATTATTGGCACTCTTGCTGTATATAAGGAAGCTTCTAACCTCAAAGAGTTTGTGGTCCAACTGGAAAGATAAACTAGAACCTCCAAACGGTGAAAAGAGCACATATAAATAAATTAATTAATTACTATGTGGGAAACTGTATATTCAAATTGAGAGGAAATAAAGCAGGGGCTAAGCCTCTCAAGCTTCCAAAGAAACTGCCTCATGATGAATATTTGAGATGCCATCCTCACCTCTTAAACTTGTTACAAATGAAACTTGTTAAAATTACAGATGTGAGGGATTCAAATACATGAAAAAGTCATCCTTAGCTGCTAATGCTTGTGTTTTGAAAAAGGCCAGAACTTGACCGAAGGAACCTTAAAAAATATATACATTTATCATATAGCTATATATATATCATATTACACCACAAAGAAAAATTTATTTTCCAAACTGAGAAGGCCAGGTTTGTAATATATTTGTAAATTACACAGTAGAGTTTAAACTGTATTTCTTGAGATTTCTGAAATTCTTTAGTCCATCAAGCTATTGCTTTTACTTGATCTAGCAGTTGGATATTTATGATATCAAGAAGCTTGCTATCAGATCTCAGTGATGAAGAGAGCCTAGAAGCCACCATATATTGGAAATATGCACAGTAATGTTAACAAATCTTTGATGTTAAGTTCTGAATGTACAATTTAGCACATAATAAGCATGAGAATCACATTAGAATGGAAAGCACATAGTAGGCATATAATTTCTAACGTTCAACCAAATTTCACAGCTGTAAGAAACTAACATAACAACAAATAAATCGTTGTTATTTTATTTTGAAATAAAAATAAATGGAGTTACTACCTACAACTTTAGCTGACAAATTATATTTATCTCTTGCCAAAGTTTACTTACACATTTTATGACAAATTTTACAATTTTATTTCTCTGATCTTATAGTCCCTTAAAAATTTTCAAAGATATTATCTTCTTCACTGTCTAAAGCAAATAAAGAATTCTCATGAATTATTTTAATTCAAACTTTGAATGTTTTATATGCAGGCAAATCAGAACACATTTTAATCCAGAGTTAATGCATATTTCTGCACAGGCCTGGCAGCTTCCAGATGTGTTACATTTGGTCTAAATAAGAAAGACTCTATATCCAAAATTTTGCAAACAATTTTTACTTCTATTTACTATTGATTAAATAAATAGCTTTCAGTGCTATAGACTGTAATTAATCAGAAACAAAAAAGCTGTCTGTATAAACAATAATAATAAAGAATAATCAATCTTTTCTTTATAAACACCTGGAATACTCAAAATGAAAAAGGAAATCCAAGTTTTTTTTTAAGTGTCTTTTTTCCAGTTATTTGGTTAAAATAAACTATTTCTGTTGCAAGAGTCATTGACAGTTTAGTTAGGTCATGAGGTTGAGATTTTTAATATGATTTCCAGAAATAAAAGATTATTAAAATATTTAGTTTTAATTCATGGCATCTAATTCTGCTGGACAAGATTAAAACTGAATTACTACCTGGAACATAGCATTAGTTTCCATTTTTTCACGTGAATGTGCCCTGAAACACTCGTGAAGAACAATGTTGTGTTTTTGTTGTTGGTTAGTCAAACAAGAACCCATCCCTAACATTTAGAGTTGGCTACATTAAGCCACTAGACAAGTTAACACACTGTTTTCTAGGTGGCAGTAATATGAATGCTTTGTCAAGTTTGCCATTTAACTCTTGTAATTAGCTTTTAAAGTCAGTCAACTTCCTTGTACTTCTGGAGGTACCCACATATTCCTATTTCAAGGTTTACATCATCGTCTTGGTTCTTACTTTATATATTGCTAACTTAACCAGCATTAGGAGTTAGAAGGTCAACACACGGCAAAAGCTTATTTGCAAGGGGCCTAAGGCAGTTAAACAATTCTTTCCAGCTGCAAAAGGAAAAGAGCAATACCTGTAGGACTTTGAGAAACGCAATCTTGATTTGGCTCTTGGAGATGGTCCTGGCACTGTGGCTCCCAGAGGATCCCAAACAAAAGCCATTTGTAAGGACGATGCCAAGATCCACAGGAACCACGGGAAGTCAGAGCTGGTGCCGGGCCCTGGGGCCCTGAGGCCTCACACAGAGCAGGAGGCACTTGTAGCTGAGTGAGGGCATTTCCTTTGTGCAGTGGTATGCTGGTATGCGCTGACAGAGAGGTGGCAGGCTGGCTGAGGCAGGGCTGGAAGGGATGGCCAGGACTTCCTGCTGCATGACACTTGGCCTTTGCGACAGAGCTTGCTTCACTCAGGCCTTATCTCATAATTAACGTGAGAAACACTCCCTCAAAAATTTGTTTTTAAATATAGCCCTGATTAAACAGTATGGTCACATGCCACTCCTGAAAAGCACAACACACACACACACACACACACACATGTGCACACGCATGCACACACACAATGAAAAGTGTGATTGAAGTGGGTAAACCTTTATATCAGTGTGAACTTTAAAAAAAGTAAACGTGAGGTCTTTGTTAAAAATTTTTAAAAAGTAAATACTTGCCTATGACTGGGGCATCTGACAAAGATTACTAAATTTCACACAGCTAACTGCCAACTATAATTTTTCTTATTTCAACTTCTCTTAAAAACAGAGATGGATATAATTCTTAGCAAACCTTCCACAGGAGGTAAACAGGATTTAGTCATCTTGAAAATACCAGTGCCTCTCTGCAAGCCAATGTGAGAAAAAAACAGGCAGATCACTTTCAGAGCTTTTGGCAGCTTTTCCCTCAAGGAGATGCTGCGTCACCTTAGAGAGTGAATTACAATGCATGACTTTGACAACAAAGATCAATTATCTTGTCCATTTTCTATTCCCTAGAAACATTTCTTAACTCTGATAAATCCCTTAAAACAACTTTCTTTCAAATTAAATAAATGACGAAAGCCAAATAGAAGCCTTTACATGTTTCATGAGTCCAGGACATTTTGAGAAATCATCTATTTCAAGATATTGTACCCAAGGAGTCAAAGGACCCTAGTGCCGTCATCAGTCCTCACCACTGAGTGGTATTCAGTGTTAACAATGCAGCATAATTTCATCAGTCCCTGTCGAAACACTGCCCCTCCGGTGACCTCAACTGTAAACCAAGGCAGAGCTCCACTTCTCCAGGATAAGATTAGAGAGGCTTGAAGTGCCCAAGAGTGAATTTAACCCTCTCTGAACTGGACAAAACTGACCAACAGTTGAGCTTGGTGAACATCACCATATCTATAAATTTTGAGACCTCTAAAGCTCAATCTCTCTCTTGTACACCAAGAGAGTCTTGAATATTTATATAATTTCAGTAAAAGCTCAAGACATTAAACATTATGCTTATTTTCACAACAGCATCCAGCACACCAGGGGTTCTTAACAATGCTACAGGTTTCCTATCAGCTTTGGAGATGAGTAATAGAAAACGTTTTTACAGTTTCACCTTTCTTATCAGACACATGAGCTCAAAGAGAGTGGGTGAGTGGAACTGCCCCTAATAGCAGCAACCTTGGAGGAGCAGAGTTCAAAAATAAACAACACACATTCTCTCTGAATCATCTTGCAATATTGTAATGCTTCACAAACTGTCTTTTTGCTTTTGTATAGAGATCCAAATTTCACGTGGGCAAAACAGATGGCCACTTTCCTGGTGTTCTCAAAGGACTGAAAAGGTGCTTATACTGATGCCAATCTGCTCTTTTGATGTACAAATTGGCACTATTGCCATTTCATTCTTTCATAGTATTTAATTTCCATTTTGGGCAGCTCTTAGGAAATGCACACATTCCTGGCAAAGTTAGCACTGGGCTGAATA